ATATATATAAGCGAATCATACGTTAACCCCACCCTGTGAAATATTATGCCCAAAACATATTGTTGACTCAAAAATGCTATCAGGCTTTGTTTATGTTGCGCTGAATTACATATGGCACCATCTGGTTCCCCCTGCTCGTACGATGCATACATAGTGTACCAGACAGATGGGACACTGAGATCCACCAGGTGAATAGATACAGATAGATAGCTTTTCATAATTGAAATGCAACCCTTGTCATAAACTTAGAAATGGAACTTTTTGATCTAACTACCAAAGAGACAGAAGCGTGCAGTCTATCATAGAACCATAGGCGTAATTTGCAGGGGGGTTAGGGGGGTTTTGACCCCCACAGTAATTTGATCGAGTCAAAATACCCCCCCGCCCCCAATAAAAAGACATAAATTGCTCAAACACAATAGAAATTAACTGGTTAAGTAGACAGATGCAACTCTCTTGCTGTATTTGGGTAACTTTAACCTAGTTAAAAATATACAATGTCATATATGTACGTTGAGGCATAATTGCTAAAAAAAAAAAACGACATGCAGGGTTTTAGAGCACCCCCCATGATAGACCTAAAGTTTTGCACGGAACTGATATACAGTTTGTGCAAATGATGCGAGTGTTAGTAACTTGGCTGAAACAACACTGTACCAGCCAATACAGCCGGGAATGTTTTATTCCTTTACACAAGTTCCTCCTCCTGCCCTTTGGTAGTATATTTTAATTTTTTTTTCTTTTTGTGTTTCTATGACAATGGAAAAAAGTTAACAGAAGACCTGAAAGGTGATGAGTAACTCATGACAGCTGTGCTGATTAGAACGGAAAACCTGGTGTGAAGGAAGAGCAGAAAACAACCAGGAAACATGATCAGATTTTTAAAAACTCTGCATGAAACTAAAGAGTAAGTCAGAACTTAACTATATCTGCAGGTTATAGAGATGTCCTGAACTTGGTTTAGATGTAGATAAACGTTTTGGATTTTTTTTTCCAACGTCCCACTTTAAATTGCTAAGGACAGCTTTATTCTAGCTGAGTTTATTGTTTATCTGTGAAAATTTCAGGTTTGACAGCCTATTTTTACAACATTACATCAAAACTGATGCTAATGCAACTTAAAAGCTCAAACAAACAAAACGTATTTAAATGTTTTTTAAGTTTTTCTTGAGAAGTTCTGCCTTTGAACAAACTAATAGCACACACACGTACGCGCCATTGCCTTGTCAGCTAACCCCCTCTAGTGCCGAGCATCTTGCACAGATGCGCGCAGTCCCCCAGTGTTGCCCCCGCTTCAGCTGCTGTTCCGCTGCATCCCAGTCATTCCTCTGTTCACCATCCTCCTCCTCCTCGCCGACCCGCTGCAGCGGACCGAGCTGGAGCTGAGCTGACACTCCAGGACGCGCGCTGCCGTGCCAAAGCACACGGACCGCGAAGCCTGCCACGAATCCGCGCGCCACGGGGACGCACAGAATCGCCTCTTTTTTTTGTGTGTTTTAATATCAACGACTGAGGCTCAAAGTCCGATCAGACTCTTCAAAGTTGTGAGGATCTAAGCGTCTCTAACATTGACAGGGAATTTGAGTTCCCGTTAGATTTCTATTTGTTATTTTATTATGGGGAGACTTTTGTCTGAAACCTCTCCGCCGGAGCTGCAGCCAGCAGGTAAAGGATGGTGAAGCTTCTGTTCCGCCGCACGACCATTCCCTCCACGCGGGATCAGTTCTAGGGACCAGAACCAGCGGATCTGGGCTTCTGCAGGACCCGGACGTGTTTTCCTCTGAGCTCGCCACGCAAAGGCGCAGATAAATGTTGCAGCAGACATGAGTTTAGGAAACAGATTTGTCCTTCTTTCACTCTTTCTTGGATTTGTCTTCATTCGCTTCAGTCGCTGCAATCAAGGTAAGACCGGTTCACAGAAGCGCGCGCAGTCCCCTCAAGTCTGACTTTATTTTGAAGCATTTCAGCAAAGGAATCTCTACAGTGTTCATCCATCCCCTACGACACTTTAAATGAGTTTTTACTGTGGACATTTCAAGACTTTAAAATATACTAAATATTGAAGTTTGTCTTAAAATCCAGACTCTAAACAATAAGTGACCGCAAAGTCCCATAACTGCAGTGACCAAAATCTAAATTGTTTGCCTCATTACGGAAATATAGTTTCATAAAGAGATAAGTTGTGAAAGAAATGATCTGTGTAAGGGGAAGAAAACCTGCAGCTGTTTCTAAATTCCGTTTCAAGTTTATGATCTAATTGCACCGAAATGCACTCAATTCAAAATCAGATGCAGAGATCAGACTCTGAATTGGTTGCTTCAGTTCAGAAGGAGAGAACCCCCTCAGAGAACTCAGTTTCTAAAATAACATGCCTCAGGCTTCCTGATTTAACTGTTTCACATTACTCAGATTCAGACAGGAAGGCAGCCAGAAGATTGACTCATTAAGTGGGTGACAAATCGAGACTGAGTGTGTGAGAACAAACTTAGTTTCATCATGTCACCCCAAAAAATCTAGTAAGTACAAATCTAAATGCACACAGTTGTGTCGGCTACTATTATAATTTTTGGTTTCCCTTAAGTTTGCTGCCTACCTGTCCTGTTGGTGATCACACAGTGTTCCTCTGGACACCCACCCACACAGACACACACACATCTGCTGCATCAGTGAGGTTTAAAATAGTCTTATTGATTGTGCAGGGAGCACAGTGGGATCTGCCCCCCAGGTTATATTTTATTGTTCTCTCTGTTCAATAAGAGCGATGCTACTCCCTGTTCTCCCGGACAGCTGCTACATAACAGCCTCACGGTGTGTTTTTCTGTGCCACAGATTGAATGATTGAACTCATGTCTGCTTTCAGCTGCAGTTTAGTCCTTCATATTGACTGGTAAGGGACCTGAAGTGGCACAATTGCAGTCACTGTCCACCCTGGGGTGGTGGAGTGCAGAGTGGGGAGAAAAGAACAACTTGCCAACACCTGAATGACAAAAAGAATCATTTTAAAATAATGTCAAAATGTTCTAAACTATGAACATTTATTTTGTCACAATTTTAGTTGTGAACAACAGCAGCTGCTCTTTTATTTTTCTCAGCTCTAAAATCTGGAGACTATAAAAAAAGTGGTGGAGGAGACTTAAACACATCTGTTCCTGCTCTGCTACAAGATAAAGTGTGTTAAAGCTGGGGACAGTCCCAAACCCCGTCTTACAGCGGAGCAGATCAGTATGTTTCATTGGTGCTTTTCAACAATCTGAACTCCAGAGATTCCACAGACAAAATGGTCACAATGTCGTCTGTTACAAGAATAATAGGAAACAATTACTTTGTGCATCTTGCCTGTGTGCCTCTCCACACAAAAGCATATCCCTCACATGAGCCCAACTGGAGTCATTATTGCCATCGCTCCACTCAGCTGATAGAGCCAGTGTTGCTCTCTATAGAAACCCTTCTAAAATTTTTAACTTTACTCAGTTTTGTTCATTTTTTCACGTTAAAGCATGAGAAAAAGTCAGTTGCAGAAACATTTATTGTTTGCAAAGTGAAGCCTTTATAGTTAAAAAATTTTTTATGTTGCATAAAAAGTTTCTGGTTAAAAATGTTCCATCTTACTAAAATAGCTGAAAGTAGTTTTTTTTATTTTTTTCCTTAGAAATTTTGATATAAAAAGGCAAAAAATTCGGGCTTTTATTGAAAAACATAAAAATAAATAAATAAAATCATTCAACTACACTGTAAGAAGTGCAACATAAAACAGTTTTTTTTCTTTCTGTTTGTTAAATTAACTTTGCTTAATCGCCATTATATCTCTAAGTGTGAAGCCATTCAGCAAACCATGTCTATCCATTTGCTTTGTTCTTTAGCATAAAAAAGACTTGCTTCATGCATTGATCTAGCTGTGAAAAGAACATTGAAAATAATTACTCACCTCTCTGCAATGATTTGTTTGGATGGCTGATTAAAGCATTTGCTCACGCAGAGTGCAGCTATCGCCAGCACCAAATGAAGGAGATATTCACTATTAGCATGTGTGAGTCCAAAAACATCAAACAAATCCAGGTTAGCAACAAAGTGCTAACTCTGCACTTTTATTCTGTGTGCATATTTGTAGATTTGTTGAACCAGTGTGTTTTTATCACAATGTCAGTTTCAGAACACAAACATAATAACTTTAAGTTAAATTCACAGAAGTTTGTCAATACTGAGATTTATTATTGTCACGCTGTCTTGTACAAGAAATTGAGAAGAGCTTTTGTGTGTCCTCAGGGAGCTTTTAATGTTACTTAAACACTATTTATTTTCTTGTCTGCTTTTGTGTGTGCACTAGTAGTAGCTGGTGCTTATCCCCAGCAAGTGAGAGAAGGGGTTGCCAGTCCATCACAGAGAGACACAGACAAATGAGACAGACAACCACTCAAGCTCTCATTCACAATTAGTGACACTTAAGAATTATCAATTATCTAGCATTAGAGCTGGGATATATGGCTGAAAAAATGTATCCCGAGTAAACATTTCATGTCAGTCAATATAAATAATTATCAATTAGTTTTTGTTTTACTATTTGAAATCAGAACCAGGAGAAAAGAAAATGATCAATACAGCCAATCTGGTGAAGTGACCTTTCCTCTTTTATCCACAATTTCCTCTCGAGCTGTCACTCAGTCGTGTTTCCATAGTTTAAGAAACACATTGGAAAATGTTGGTGGAAATAGCAGAATAAAATAAAAAAATGTAAAAAATTTCCTCAGTTTCACAAAAGTTTTTTATGCACTTGAAGTGGATTTTGGATTTTCTAAATAAGAGTTACTGTGCAGATGGAGATGGAAACCTTTTTTGCCGAATAAGTTCTGACACAGCGACCTCACATGACTTATCAGCTGTTTCCGTTGTTGGCATCTTCCCAGATATTTCCGTACCAGTAGCATTTCTTTCTCTGCATCTCCGAACAGCATGTAACATGGTCAATAATAGTTGATATGACAGAACAATTGCAACTTGTTTGATAGAAACACATTCCAAGATGTGTGGTCCCTGCTAGTTTGTGATCTCTACTTCCTGTTTATTACAGCCACGAGTAATGTCAGCACCTGACAAAACACTCTTCATAGCTCGCTTGGGAAAACAAATTTTGGATTTTTTTCAATTTTTTTGCAAATTTTCAAAAGTTCACTCAAATTTTGCAGAACAATTGGATGAAATCATGGCTACTTTCTCCTTTCACTCCACATTGTTCTTGTTTGTTTTTAAGCAGCTTTTCAGTGGCGAAACATGAAACTGCTGCTGCACATGTTAATTAGCAGGCTGTTGCTAGCTCACCAAAGAATGAGTTGATGCCACCAACCTTGCTTAGCTGGGCTGTGAGAGGATGAGCAGTTGAAGCATTCCTCTGCTTACATCCCCCAGATTGTCGTGCCGTTCTGGATCAAAGTTCAGTGAAATTAACATTTTATTGGACGTATTTTCTTTTGATATGGATCACATGTCTATTGTGATATGTATCACCCAGCCCTGCCTAACATTCAAGTTTTTGATCTGTGGGAGGAAACCAAAGTATCCAGATAAAAAATTGCATATGTCTTCTGGATGGGTTCTTYTCTAATGAAACGTTTCGTCTCTTCTCCAAGAGACTTCTTCAGTCTGAGAGTTTCAGGCAAAATTCAGGCTTTTAAGCCCTGCCTCCATGTGACTGATACTCACATCACATGGCTATCGTTGACACCTAATTAACATCTATTGTTAACAGGGGGTGGAGTGATACTGGCAATAGCAGCACTGTAGGAGGGGGACAACTGAAAACGGAGGCCTCCACCTCTGTTTAATGATGGACAGTCTTTCGTCACAAAAATGGCTTCTTTTACTCCTCTCTCAAACCAACGTTCCTCTCTATCAAGAATGAGAACATCCTCATCTCTGAAAGAGTGACCGCTGGCCTGTAAATGAGTGAGACCTATAAATAAAGTAAATGAGACCTATACATTTTTTTTTCTTTTTGATTTTTACCTGGATTACTGAGATGCATCAGGACAGATAAAAGATAAGCATCCACTGAGATAACATACAAAGTCCCCACAAAGGCCACAGCCAGGTTTTGAACCTGCAACATTTGCTTTGAGGCAACAGCTAACCCATGCTGCCAGGTAATTTTTGTAAATATGGGGAAGTTAGGATAAATGTTAGTGCAGGAAGTTAGTTTTGATAGTGCATGGCACTTATAGGATTTGTTATCTGCCACCACTAACAGTAAAATTATAGTTTATTGTACTTTTATTATTTTGTGATTTACACGTTAGAGCTTTGGTACTTGGGGAATTTTAACAGAAGCAGTTCACTACAGAGCCACATCTCCACTGAGCACAAACATGTTGGGATCCACCAACTATCCTCCTTTAAAAAAGCCTACAAATAATCATCACGTGGTTGTGTTGCTTTATAAAAAGCTTTTCTGGTGAGTGTAAGAAAAATAGTCTTTAAAGATCCCCCCTCCCAACCCATGTTGCACTTGAACTGTGAGTAATTTTCAGCCCACTCTAAGCTGTGCTRTCAGGGCAGGTGTTCTGCATTTGATTACTGATGTAACATGATCTGGGCTGCAGTTAGTCAAATCAAAATTAAGTTTTATGACACTTAAATACTTATTCTTGACCCTGATTAAAAATGTCACATGGGCATGAGGAGAATTTATGAGGACGAGAAAATCACATCACACAGGACTTTGTCAGAGCACAAAAGTAATTTTATGGCGGCTTATGCAACATTTCAAAGACTGATTTAAGAAATGCACCTTAAGCTAGTTTGCTGCTTCACAAAATGTGGAAAAGTGTATTGCCATAAAAGAGGGTGAGCATGTAATTGGCTACGTTTGTCTGTTTTATTAGCAAACCAGAGCTGGATGTTATTCTTGGAAC